CTTTTTACTGATAGTTTATACCCCTTTACCAGCCTTTCCCTGTTTTCCTCACATCCCCACCCCAGGTAGCCACCATTCTAATCTGCATTAATATTGGTTTGATTTTTTTTTTTCTTAAGAGAATCCACATATGTGATATCATACAGTATTTGTCTTTTCTTGTCTGGATTGTCTCACTTAGCAAACACACTCCAGGTCCATCCATGTTTCTTTTCATTCCATACCTGAAAGTTTTTTCCTTATAGAAATGTTGATAGAAGTTCAAACCAACTAGGCAAAGAGCCCTGAGACAAGTGATCCAGTTGTCTTGAAAAAGTACACTAGCTAAACTATTCCTCAGTATGTTGCAATATTCATACCAGTTTTGTATGATTTGAACTGATAATAGGTAGCACCTTTAATGTATATTATTGAAAAAAATAGTGGCAGCATTTTCTAAATAAAGTTTTCATTTTCAGATATATTTAGCTGCATCTGCAGTTGTAAAAATGATACAGGAACATTCTGTGTGCTCATACACAAATTACCCCAATGGAATGAACTTGCAGAAAGATTGAAATTTATCACTATTTCGTTAAATGACCTGACACTCACTAAATATTATTGAGATGTCCCCAGTTTCACATCTGTTATTGTGGGTGTTTACTTCTGTATAATTTTATCACATATCCTCTATCACAGGCAAACCCTCAACCAGTTTGATCACCACCATGAACCCTAAAATTCTCTTTAATAAGGGCACACACCTCCCTCAGGTTGACATTTTTATTCCCAATTCCCATCCCCTTTCTGTCTTCAGCTGCTCTTTTTTTTCTAGTTGCTCTAAACAACAAATCTATTCCCCAGATCTATAATTTTTTCCAGTCAGCATTGTTGTATAAATGGAATCCTAGGGTACTGAGATTGGCTTCTTTTCTTCAGGGCAATTTCCTAGAAACTCACTCATGTCCTTGTGTGTATCACTTATTCCTTATTTTTTTTTATTGCAGATTAGTATTTCATGGTATGGATGTTCTATGATATAGTAATTGTCCACATTTTCAAAATTTTGGGGGTTTCCTGTTTGGGTTATTAGGGTTAAGCTACTAATAGCACTTGTTCGTCTGTATATTCATCTGTATTGTGACTTTGAAAAGAAGTAGTTCCTTCTTTCTTGTTGAAGAGACACCATGTATTGGTTCACTATTAAATAAAATCTGAATTTTAAAATCTTGCTTCATTTCATTCATTTCACTCTTTCTCACAGTTTACATTTCTATGAGTGGAATTCCCAAGCGTACAATTTCTGGTCCTTTGGTGACTGTGTTTTTAGTTTTGGATAAGAAACTGACAAACTGCTTTCCAGTGTGGCTTTACCATTTTCCATTCCCTCCTGTCATATATGTGTGGATGCAGTTTGCCTGCATCTATATTCGTGTTCTTTCCCTTGTTATTTGTCCTTCTTGATGCTTGAGAGTTTTTTCTATGATATCTTTTCTGTTTGTCGATTTTCCTTTAGCTATGCTAAAATATGAATTAATGACATATACTTATTTTGTGTATAAATATCTTTATTTTGTCTTCATTACTGAAGGATAGTTTTATTGAATCTAGAATATGAGTTTGCAATCTTTTTCTTATAGCATTTGAAATGTGTTTCCATTATAGGAAGGGACAAAGTCCTGACCAACCAGGAACCAAACTCTCAGATGTTGAATAATCCACCATTCTTGGGAAATAACTATTGTGATCAAAATATTTCACGTGTCATCCTTTCTGATGTTGGTGAGTTTGAAATGATATGTATTCCAAATATCACTGTTTAATGTATATTCATTAATACCTTTAATATGACTTGTACATAGCTTTTTCTAATTAAAAATAAATTAAAATTAAATAAGTAAAAAGTAAAAGTTTTATTTTGAATAAATTTTAACTGCACATGCAATTGTAAGGAACAATACCGATACATCTTAATTACAGTTTACCTAGCTTCCCCCAATGACAGCATCTTGCAAAACTATCACAACACCACAACCAGGATATTGATAGTGATGCAATCACAGACTTTTTGAGATTTCTCTGGTTTAATTACATTGATTTGTGGGTATGTGTTTAGTTCTATTTGATTCTGTCACATCAGTAGGTTTGATTTCCATCACCACACTCAAGATATAGAACATTTCCATTCCCACTCAAATATATCACTTTACCTTTTAACAACTATTCCTGCCTCAGCCTAAGTCCCATGATATGCAGTTGACTTGTGTCATGCACCGGTTCTTCCTTCTTATTTGTTGTTGAGGACTTTCCCATGGTATATAGATGTACCACGCTTTGTATATTGGTTCCCCTGTTGAAGAACATCTGGAATGTTTCCAGTGTTCAGTATTGCAGGTACATTTTTGATGACCCTTCATGTAGCAGTTTTTGTGTAAATGTAAGTTTGGATTTCCCAAGAGTTCAGATACTTAGTTGCATGGTAATGGCATGTTTAGAAACTGCAAACAGTTTTCCAGAGAGTCTGTGCCCTTTTACTGTTCTGCTAGCAATCTCTGAGTTAGCCAGTTTCTAGACCTCCATGTTCCTGATGCTTTCATTATTCTTTCTTCCCCTTGGATGCTCCAAGATTTCTTCTTTCACCATTCTTTTCTGATAGAAGGTATTTCCCTGACCATTCTCAAGTGTAAAATGCCAATTGAGATATTTAGCTTTCCTTCATGTGAGACTGTATTTACTTCATCTTTTTCTTTGGAACAGTCATTTTTAGCTTTATTGAGGTATAATTGAAAAATAAAATTGTAATATATTCATATTGAACAATGTGTTGTTTAGAAACACACATACATTTGAATGGATTCTTAATGGAATTAATTAGCACATCCATCATTTACCTCTTTATGTTTTGTTGTGAGAATGCTGAAGTTGAACTTTCTAATCATATTGCAATTATATAATACAGCATTATCAACTATAGTCACCACGTTATATATCCCCTGACATTATTTCACCTTTTAACTGATAGTTTGTACCCCATTAACAGTGTCTCTCTATTTTTCTCACTTCCCAGTTGCTTGTAGACATGGTTCTACTCTGTGATTTTATGAGTTTGACTTTTTTTAGATTCCATATATGTGATACCACACAGTATTAGTCTTTCCCTGGTTGGCTTATCTCACTTAGTATAATGCCCTCACATCTGTCCATTTTGCTACACATTTGCTTTGTATTTCAATGACAGTTTCACATCTTATGGAATTCATAGTTGAGATTTTTTTGTCTTTTCATACCTGAAAATATCTCTCTATATAAAAATCTAAGTCAGTAGCTTTGATACATACTGACTATAGGGGGCAGATGCTCAATACAGAGGTTGCTGAGCTGTAGAAACTTGGCAGCAGCAGTTCTCTAGTGATGCACCCTGAACCAGAGAGGAGGGAGCCTGATTCCAGTGTGTGTCACCCCAAAAATGCCCTCTCACAATTTGGGACCCCTCGGGGGTTGTCAGCCAGTTTCAGCCAGGCTGAAGGACCCAACCAGTGTATGAATCCATGCACTGGGCCTCAAGTATTATTAATGGAAATGTTGGTAGGAGCTCAAACAAACTTGACAAAGAGACGTGAAACAACAAATGATCTAGTTGCCTTGGGAAACTACACTAGCCAAACAATTCCTCAGTATGTTGCTGTATTTATACCATTTTTGCAGGTTTTGAAATTACACTTATGAAGGGTAGCACCTTTACTATAGATTTATCAACATTCTTGGTGTAAAGATAGTGCCAGTATTTTCTAATTAAAGTTTTTATTTTCAGATATATTTATCTGAAACAGCACCTGCAGTTGTAAGAAATGATACAGAGAATTTCTATGTTCCCACTACCCAAATTTCCCCAATGCAATCAACTTGCAAAGTGATAGAAATGTATCACTATTAAGTTAAATGACTTGATATCCTCCAGATATTATTGAGATGTTCCTAGTTTCACTTCTGTTAATTCGAATGTTTACTTCTATACAATTTTATCACTTATCCTCAACCACAGGCAAGTCCCCAAATAGTCTTATCACTACCATGACCCTTCATATTGCTGTTTTGTAAGCATACCATGTTCCCTCCAGTTGACATTACCCCCATTACCATCTCCTCCCCTCTCTCTAGTGGCTCGCAACTACAAATATGTTTCCCAGATTTATAATTTTTCCTTTTGCATTGTTATATAAATGGAACTCTGTGGTACTTGAGATTGACTTCATTCCCTCAGTATAATTTCCTAGAAAGTCGCTCATGTCCTAGTGTGTATCACTTACTCCTTTTTTAAAAAAAAAATCACAGAGTAGTATTCCATTGTATGGATATTCCATAGTATATTTACCTATTCACCTTTCCAAAACTTCTGGGTTTCCTCTTTATAAGGGTAAAGCTGCTAGTAACACTTATTCGTATGGATATCCATCGGACTTGTGGTAGCATCCATAGTTCCTTCTATTTTGTTGAGGATGTACTATCATTTGGTTGCACCACTCTGTATATTGGTTCACTATTAAAGAAAATCTGGATTTTTAAATCTTGCATCATTTCATTCATTTCACTCTTTCACCAAGTTTTCATTTCTCTGAGTTGAATGCTCTAAACTGCAATTTCTGGTCCTTTGGTAATTGTGTCCTTAATTTTGGATAAGAAACTGACAAACTGCTTTCTAGTGTGGCTTTACTATTTTCCATTCCCATCTGCAATGTATGAGTGGACCAGTTTGTATCCATATTTGTTTTCTTTCCTTTGTTCTTTATCTTTTTTCCTATCATATCTAGACTCCTTTAAGAGTTTTTCTATTATATCTTTTCTGTTTGGAGATTTCCCATTAGCTATGCTAAAACAGGAATCAGTCAGTGACAAATACTTTTCTTTTTGTCTACAGATATATTTAATTTGGCTTCATTACTGAAGGGTAGTGCCATTGAATATATAATATGAGGTAGGGAGTTTTTTCTTACAGTATTTGAAAAATATTTTCCTTATAGAAGGGGACAAAGCACAGAACAACCAGGAAGAAAACACTCAGACAACAAATAACACACATGTCCTGGGGAATAACAATGGTGCTCGAGATATTCCATGTGTCATCTTTTCTGATGTTGGTGAGTATGAAATGATACACATTACAGATATCACTGTTTAATGTAGGTTTATGAATACCCTTAATGTGAGCTAGAGGTAGCTTTTCCTAAATAAAAAAAACAGTTAAAATTAACTAATTATAAAGTAAAAGTTTTATTTTGAATAAATTTTAACTGCACATGCAATTGTAAGAAACAATACAGAGAGATCTTGTGTACAGTTGATCCAGTTTTCCCCAATGATAACATCTTGCAAAAGTATAGCACAATACCACAACCGGAATATTGACATTGATGCAATCCATAGTTAGTTTTTTTTTGTTTTTGTTTTTGTTTTAGATTTTTCTGGTTTAATTATATTGATTTATGTGTATTTGTTGAGTTGTGTTTGATTTTGTCACATGAGTAGGTTTGATTTCCACTACCACCGTCAAGATACAGAACATTTCTATTCATATATTGTGTGTGTGTATATATATATATATATATATATATATATATATATATATATCACATTACCCATTAGTAACCATGCCCCCCTCAGCATAAGTCCCTGGATGTTCACCTGACTTGTGACATGCATCAATAAGTTCTTGTCTTTTTCGTGTTGAGGACTATTTCATGGTAAGGATGTACCACAGTTTGTGTATTGGTTCACTGTTGAAGAAACATCTGGATTTTTCCAGTGTTCAGTATTACAAGTAAAGCTGTTATGACCGTTCTTTTGCTGCTTTTTGCGTAAACATAGTTTGATTTCTCTTAGATCATAACCAAGAGTACAGATGCTTGGTTGTATAGTAATACCATGTTTAGTGTCACAGGAAACTGCCAAAAGTTTGCTAGGGAGGCTGTGCCTTTTACTCTCCTGCCAAAAATGTATGACAGCCAGTTTCTTAACCTCCACGTGTCTGCTGGTTTTACTGTATTTCTTCCTCTTGATGATCCAACATTTGTTCTTTCATCTAATTTTCTGATATGAGATATTCCTCTAGCAATTCTCTGGTGTAAACTGCTTAGTGAAATATACTGTAAGCTTTCCTTCGTTTGACATTATCTTTATTTCATCTCTATTCTTCTTTTTAAGAGTTTGAATGCTCATTTTTTCAGCTTTATTGGGGTATAATTGACAAATAAAATTGTAATATATTTACAACATACAATGTAATGATTTGATATACACATACACTGAAAAGAGTCTCACCATTGAGTTAATTAACACACCTGTCATTTACCCCATTTACATCTTGATACTTTGTGGTGAAGACACTGAATTTGTACTTTATAAGCAAATTGCAATTATACAATACAGCATTATCAACTGTAGTCACCGCATTTTATGTCCTCAGATGTTAGTTCAATTTTTATTAGATAGTTTGTGCCCCATTATCATCTTCTCCTGATTTTTCTCACTTCACAGCCCCTGGCAGCTACCATTCTACACTGTGTTTCTATGAGTTTGACTTTTTTTCCTTTTCAGATTCTATATATGCGATAACCTACAGTATTTGTCTTTCAATCTCTGGCTTATTTCACTTAGCATAATGCCCCCCACAACCATCCAGGTTGTCACAAATCAGCTTGGTCTTTGAAGGATAGTATCGCTTCTTATGGAATTCATGGTTGAGATTTCTTGTCTTTCCATACCTGAAAATATGTGACTTATGGAAATATTGATAGGAGCTCAAACCAACATAACAAAGAGCACCTAAGCAACAAATGATCCACTTTTCTTGAAAAACAACAGTAGCCGAAACAATTCCTCAGTGTGTTGCTATATTTTGTCTCAGTTTTGGTGAGTTTGAAATGATATTTAGACAGGTAACATATTCAATATTGACTTATCAACATTCTTACTAAAAAGATACAATAGTTATAGCTTTTTGTAATTGAAGTTTTTATTTTCAGAAAAAATTAGCTGCACCTGCAGTTGTAAAAATGATAGAGAGAAATGTTTTGTTTCCAATACCTAAATTTTCACAAAGGTAAGGACTAGCAAAATGGTAGAAATTTATCACCACTAAGATAAATAACATGACATTTTCATTATATTATTAAAATATAGTTTCACTTGTGCTAATCTGTGTCTTTAGTTCTGTACCATTTTATCACATGGACTCTATCACAGGCAAGCCCCTAAACAGTTCCATCATATTTCTATTTTGTAAGTATACCCACCACCCTTCAGGTGACATCTCCCTGATCCAAACCCCTGTTCAGCCTAAAGCTGCTGGTAGCAACACATTTATTACCCAGATCTATAATTTGTCCCTTTAACATCCTGTCTACAGAAAGAGTGATATGCAAATTGACAACCACTCTAAAACACAAATGGCCACACCTATGTGACCAAAGATGGCTGCACCCATGTGGACACAAGATGGTCACCGCAAGATGGCTGATATGGAAGGGCAGTTGTGGGCAGTTGTGGGTGACCAGGCTGGCAGAGGAGGACAGTTGGGGGATACCAGGCCAGCAAGGGAGGGCATTTGGGGGTGGGGAACCAGGCCTGCAGGAGATGACAGTTGGGAGGATCAGGCCTGTAGGGGAGGGAAGTTGAGGGGGACCAAGCCTTCAAGAAGGGTATTTGGGGGGGACCAGGCATGAGGAGTAGGCAGTTTTGGGCCATCAGGTAAGCAGGGAGGGCAATTAGGGTGAATGAGCTGGCAGTGGAGGACAGTGGGGGATACCAGGAAAGCAAGGGAGGGCATTTGGGGGTAGGGACCCAGGCTTGCAGGAAATGACAGTTGGGAGGATCAGGGCTATATGGGAGGGAAGTTGAGAGGGACCAGGCCTTCAGGGGAGGACAGTTATGGGAGGACAAGGCCTATAGGGGAAGGCAGTTTTGGGGGCACCAGGACTGCAGGGGAGGGCAGTTGTGGGGGGAAAGGCCTTCAGGGGAGGGCAGTTGTGGGGGGACAAGGACTGCAGGAGACGGCAGTTGTGGGGACCATGCCTGCAGTAGATGACAGTTGGGGGTCACCCAGGCCTGTAGGGGAGGGAAGTTGAGGGGGAGAAGGCCTGCAGGGGAGGGCAGTTGTGGGCTTACCAGGACTGCAGGAGAGGGCAGTTGCTGGGGGACCAGAACTGCAGGGGAGGGAAGTTGTGGGGGGACAAGGCCTTCAGGGGAGGGCAGTTGTGGGGGGACAAGGCCTTAGGGGAGGGCAGTTGTGTGAAGACCAGGACTGCAGGAGACGGCAACTGGGGGGACCAGGCCTGCAGTAGATGACAATTGGGGGTGACCCCTGCCTTTAGGAGAGGGAAGTTGAGGGGGACAAGGCCAGAAGGGGAGGGCAGTTGTGGGTGAAAAGGCCTTCAGGGAAAGGCAGTTGTGGGGGGACCAGGACTGCAGGGGAGGACAGTTGTTTGGGGACCAGGACTGCAGGGCAGGGCAGTTGTGGGGGGACAAGTCCTGCAGTAGAGCGCAGTTGTGGGGGGACAAGGTTTTCAGGGAAGGCAGTTGTGCGGGGATCATTACTGCAGAAGAGGGCAGTTTTGGGGGCACCATCACTGCAGGGGAGGGCAGTTGTGGGGGGACCAGGACTGCAGGGTAGGGCAGTTGTGGGGGGACGAGGCCTTCAGGGGGGCAGTTGTGGGGGGACAAGGTCTGCAGTAGAGGGAAGTTGGGAGGGGACAAGGCCTTCAGGGGAGGGCAGCTGTGGGGGGACAAGGCCTTTAGTGGAAGGCAGTTGTAGGGGCACCAGGACTGCAGGAGAGGGCAGTTGTGGGGTGACCAGACTGCAGGGGAGGGCAGTTGGGGGACCAGACCTGCAGTGGATGACAGTTTGGGTGGGGGGGCAAGGCCTTTAGGGAAAGGCAGTTGTGGGGGGACCAGGACTGCAGGGGAGGGCAGTTTTGGGGGTACCAGGACTTCAGGGGAGGGAAGTTGTTGGGGAGACCTGGACTGCAGGGAAGGGCAGTTGTCAGGGGACCAGGCCTTCAGGGAAGGCAGTTGTGGGGGGACCAGGACTGCAGAAAAGGGCAGTTTTGGGGGGACCAGGACTTCAGGGGAGGGCAGTTGTGGGGGGACAAGGTCTGAAGTAGAGGGAAGTTGGGAGGGGACAAGGCCTTAAGGGGAAGGCAGTTGTGGGGGGACAAGGCCTTAGGGGAGGGCAGTTGTGGGAAGACCAGGACTGCAGGAGATTGCTGTTGGGGGACCAAGCCTGCAGTAGATGACAGTTGGGGGTGACCCAGGCCTGTAGGGGATGGAAGTTGAGGGGGACAGGCTTGCAGAGGAGGGCAGTTGTGGGGGGACCAAGACTGCAGGGGAGGGCAGTTGTGGGGGGACAAGCCTGCAGTAGAGGGCAGTTGGATGACCAGACCTGCAGTGGATGACAGTTGGTGGCGACCCAGGCCTGCAGTGGATGACAGTTGAGGGGGAGGGGGACAAGGCCTTCAGGGGAAGACAGTTGTGGGCTTACCAGGACTGCAGGAGAAGGCAGTTGCGGTGGGACAAGGCCTGCAGTAGAGGGCAGTTTTGGGGGGACCATGACTGCAGGGGAGGGAAGTTGTGGGGGGACAAGGCCTGCAGGGGAGGGCAGTTGTGGGAAGACCAGGACTGCAGGAGACGGCAGCTGGAGGGACCAGGCCTGCAATAGATGACAATTGGGGGTGACCCCGGCCTGTAGGAAAGGGAAGTTGAGGGGGACAAGGCCAGAAGGGGAGGGCAGTTGTTGGGGGACAAGGCCTTCAGGGGAGGGCAGTTGTTGGGGGACAAGGCCTTCAGGGGAGGGCAGTTGTGTGGGGATAAGGTCTTCAGTAGAGGGAAGTTGGGAGGGGACAAGGCCTTCAGTGGATGGCAGTTGTGTGGGGACAAGGCCTTCAGGGGAAGGCAGTTGTGAGACCAGGCCTGCAGTAGATGACAGTTGGGGGTGACCCAGGCCTGTAGGGGAGGGAAGTTGATGGGGAGAAGGCCTACAGGGGAGGGCAGTGGTGGGGAGACCAGGTCTGTAGGAGAGGGCAGTTGTGGGGGTACAAGTCCTGCAGGCGAGGGCAGTTGGGGGACCAGACCTGCAGTGGATGACAGTTGGGGTGGGGGGCAAGGCCTTTAGGGAAAGGCAGTTGTGGGGGGACCAGGACTGCAGGGGAGGGCAGTTGTTGGGGGACCAGGACTGCAGGAGGGGGCAGTTGTGGGGGGACAAGGCCTTCAGGGGAAGGCAGTTGTGGGGGGACCAGGACTGCAGAAGAGGGCAGTTTTGGGGCGACCAGGACTGCAGGGTAGGGCAGTTGTGGGGGGACAAGGCCTTCAGGGGAAGGCAGTTGTGGGGGGACCAGGACTGCAGAAGAGGGCAGTTTTGGGGGGACCAGGACTGCAGGGTAGGGCAGTTGTGGGGGACAAGGCCTTAAGGGGAAGGCAGTTGTGGGGGGACAAAGCCTACATGGGAGGGCAGTTGTGGGGGGACCAGGACTGTAGGGGAGGTCAGTTGTTGGGGGACCAGGCCTTCAGGGGAAGGCAGTTGTGGGGGGACCAGGACTGCAGGGGCGGGCAGTTGTGGGGGGACAAGGCCTTCAGCGCAGGGCAGTTGTGGGGGGATAAGGTCTTCAGTAGAGGGAAGTTGGGAGGGGACAAGGCCTTCAGGAGAGGGCAGTTGTGGGGGGACCAGGACTGTAGGGGAGGTCAGTTGTTGGGGGACCAGGCCTTCAGGGGAAGGCAGTTGTGGGGGGACCAGGACTGCAGGGGCGGGCAGTTGTGGGGGGACAAGGCCTTCAGCGGAGGGCAGTTGTGGGGGGACTAGGACTGCAGGGGCGGGCAGTTGTGGGGGGACAAGGCCTTCAGTGGAAGGCAGTTGTGGGGAGACCAGGTCTACAGTAGATGACAGTTGGGGGTGACCCAGGCCTGTAGGGGAGGGAAGTTGAGGGGGAGAAGGCCTGCAGGGGAGGGCATTGGTGGGGGGACCAGGACTGCAGGAGAGGGCAGTTGTGGGGGGACCAGGACTGCAGGATAGGGCAGTTGGGGGACCAGGCCTGCAGTGGATCACAGTTGGGAAGAGGGGCAAGGCCTTCAGGGAAAGGCAGTTGTGGGGGGACCAGGACTGCAGGGGAGGGCAATTGTGGGGGGACCAGGACTGCAGGGGAGGGCAGTTGTGGGGGGACAAGGCCTTCAGGGGAGGGCAGTTTTGGGGGGACTAGGACTGCAGGGGAGGGCAGTTGTGGGGGGACAAGGCCTTCAGGGGAAGGCAGTTTTGGGGGGACTAGGACTGCAGGGGAGGGCAGTTGTGGGGGGACAAGGCCTTCAGGGGAAGGTAGTTGTGGGGGGACTAAGACTGCAGGGGAGGGCAGTTGTTGGGGGACCAGGACTCTAGGGGAGGGCAGTTGTGGTGGGACCAGGACTGCAGGGGAGGGCAGTTGTGGGGGTCCAGGACTGCAGGAGAGGGCAGCTGGGGGGAACCAGGCCTGCATTAGAGGACAGTTGTGGGGGATTAGGCCTGCAGAGGTGGGCAGTTGTAGTGGGACCAGGCTTGCAGGGGAGGGAAGTTGGGGGGCAAGGCCTTTAGAGGAAGGCCGTTGCGGGGGACCCAGTCTGCAGGGAAGGGTAGTTGGGGGGTACCAGGCTTGCAGTAGAGGACATGTTGGGGGGACCCAGGCCTATAAGAGAGGGCAGTTGAGGGGACCCAGGCCTGCAGGAAAGTGTAATTGGGGGAACCAGGCGTGCAGGAAAGTGTATTTGGGGGGACCAGGCCTGCAGTGGAAGACAGTTGGGGTCACCAGGCCTGCAGTGGAGGACAGTTGGGGTGGACCCAAGCCTGCAGGGGGGAGAAGTTGGGGGGATCTGGCTTGCACGGGCGGGCAGTTGGGGGTGACCAGATTGCCAAGGGAGGGCAGTTATGGGCAATCATGCTGGCTGGGGAGAAGTTAGGCATTGATCAGGCTGGCAGTGAAATGGTTAGGGGATAATCAGGCTGGTAGGCAGAAGCAGTTAGGGGAAATCAGGCAGAGGCAGGCAAGTGGTTGGGAGCCAGCAGTCCTGGATTATGAGAAGAATGTCTGACTGCTGGTTTAGGCCCAATCCTGGCCTAAACGGGCCGTCAGACACCCCTTAAGGGGTCCCAGATTGGAAAGGGTGCAAGCTGGGCTGAGGGAGACACACATCCCCCGCCCCCTTTCCAAGAATTTCGTACTCAGGGCCTCTAGTTGTTATATAAATTTATTCCTGTGCTCTTTGATATTGGCTTCTTTCCCTCAGTGTAATTCTGTGGAGACTCACTCATAGCTTTTTAAAAAAATTATCATTACTTTTTTTTTCTTCTTTTTTCTTATAGAATAATATTTCATGGTATTGATTTTCCATGCTATACTTATCTGTTCACCTGTTCAAAATCTCTTAGTTTCCTGTTTTGGATTGTTAGGGTTAAAGCCACTGTGAGTACTTTTTCATAGTTTTTAATCTTGCTTTATTTCATTCATGTCACTTTTTCAGAGTGTCCATTTCTGGTCCTTGAGCGATTGCTTCCTCGGTGCTTTTTTTCTTTGTTATTGATGAGAGAGGGAGGGAGGGAGAAAGTGAGGGAGGGGGGGAGGGATAGAGGGAAGGGGGAGGGATGGAGGGAGGGAGAGAAAGAGAAAAGAGAGAGTAAAGATACAGAAGGCTTCTGTCCACATGTGGGTGTGCCACTTTGACCTTTTATAACTACGTCGCTGGATATGCATGTGACTTGTGGCATGAATCAGTAGTTCCTTCATCATCATCATCATTATTATTATTATTATTGAGGACTATTCTATGGTATGGATGTACCACAGTTTGTGTATTGATTCATTGTTGAAGGACATCTAGATTTTAAAGTTTTGCTTTATTAATTTATTTTAGTCTTTCACAGAGTTTTTATTTCTCTGGGGTGAAAATGCCCAAGAGTGCAATTTTGGTCCTTTTATGATGGCATACTTAGTTTTGGATAAGAAACTGTCTAGCTTTCCAGTGTGGCATTACCATTTTTCATTTCCGCTTGCAGTGTATGAGTGGACCGGTTTCTCTGCATCCATATTTGTGCTCTTACCATTGTTATTTGTTCTTGATACTCCAAAAATTTTTCCATAATATATTTTTCTTTAGCCATGCTAAAACGTGAATCAGGTAGTTACAAACACTTTTGGTTTTCTTTTCTCCGTAAGTATCTCTATGTTGGCTTCATTACTGAAAGATAGTTTCTTTGCACATAGAATATGAGGCAGGGAGTCTTTTCTTAGAGCATTTGAAAAATGTTTCTCTTATAGAAGGAGAGAAAGCACGGAGCAACCGGGAAGACAACACTCAGACAATGAATTACCCACCTGTCTTGGAGAGTAGCAGTGGTGCTCGAGATATTCCACGTGTCCTCATCATTTGTGATGGCCGTGAGTTTGAAATTATACATATTGCAAATAGCGCTGTTTAATGTAGATTCATTAACAGTCTTAATGGAGCTAGTGCTAGTTTTCCCTAATAAAAATTAGTTAAATTAATTAACTTAAAAACTAAAAGGTTTATTTTGAGTAACTGCATATGCAATGGTAAGAAACAATACGGATCTTGTGTACAGTTAACCCAGTTCACCCAATGAACTGGAAAACTATAGCACAATACCACAGCCAGGATATTGACATCGAAGCAATCTTCATTATTTCATTGAGATTTCTCCCAACTTAATTAAATGTATTGATTTGTGGGTATGTGTTTAGTTGTGTTTGATTTTGTCACATGAATAAGTTTCATTTCTACCACTTTGCTCAAGATACAGAACATTTCCCTCCCATAAGGATGTGTCATCTGGCCCTCTTATAACTAAACCTACCTCAGCCTACGTCCCTGAAATCCATCAGACTTGTGGCATGTAGCTTCCTTCATTTTCATTGTTGAGTAACATTCCATTCCATGGTATGGATGTACCACAATTTGCATTTAGGTTCACTGTTGAAGAACATTTGGAGATATATATATATATATATATATATATATATATATATATATATATATATATATATATTGATTTCAGAGAAGAAGGAAGAGGGTGAGAGAGATAGGAACACCCATGATATGAGAGAGAATCATGAATCGGCTGCCTCCTGCAAGTCCCCCACGGGGGATTGAGCCCACAACCTGGGCATATGCCCTTGATTAGAATCGAACTTGGAACCTTTCAGTTTGCAGGCCGATGCTCTATCCACTGAGCAAAACTGGCTAGGGCTGGATTTTTAAATCTTGCTGCATTTCATTAATTTTACTCTTTCACACATTTTTTTTTTTTAATTTCTTTGGAATGAATGCCCAAGAGTGCAATTTCTGGTCCTTTGGTAATGGTGCCCTCCATTTTTGGTAAGAAACCAAGAATCTGCTTTCCACTGTGGCTTTACCATTTTCCATACCCACAGGCAATGTATAAATGGACCGATTTCTCTGCATCTATATTTGTCCTCTTTCCTTTGTTCTTTGTTCGTCTTGATCCTTGAGAGTTTTTTCCTATGATAACTTTTCTGTTTGGAGATTTTCCTTTAGCATTTTTAAACATGAATCAGTCAGTGAAAAGTACTTTTGGTTTCCTTTTGTACCTAAATATCTTTATTTTGGCTACATTCAGAAAGATATTTTCATTGGATATAGAATATAAGGTAGTCTTTTCTTACAGCAATTGAAAATTGTTTTTCTTATAGAAGGAGGCAGAGCACAGAACCCTCAGATGAGGAGTAACAGACAGAATTTGGGGAATAACATTGGTGGTGGAGGTGTTGCACGTGTCCTCATCATTTATAATGATGGTGAGTTTGAAAGGATACATATTACAAATAACACTGTTTAATGTGATTCTTTAATATCCCTAATGTGAGTTAGTGGTAGCTTTTCTAATGAAAATTCAATTAAAAGTAACCAATTATACATTAAAGTTTTATTTAGAGTCAAATTTAACTGAACATACAATTGTAAGAAACAATACAGAGAGATCTTGTGTACTGTTGACCCAGTTTCCTCCAATGATAACATCTTGCAAAAACTATAGCACAATACCACAACTAGGATGTTGACATTGATACAATCCACAGATTTTTCAACCTGTGGTTTAATTGTATTGATTTGTATCTGTGGTTTAGTTCCATTTGATTTTGTCATATGAGTAGGTTTGATTTCGACCATTTCGGTCAAGATAATAGGACATTTTCATCCTCATTCTGATGTGTCCCTTTACCCTTTTAAACTACACCTGCCTTAGCCTAAGTCCCATGATATGTAGTTGACTTGTGAGATGCATGTGTTCTTCCTTCTTATTTGTTGTTGAGGACTTTTCCATGGCATATGGATGTACCACGCTTTGTATTGTGGTTCACTGTTGAACACCTGGAATGTTTCCAGTGTTCAGTATTGCAGGTACATTTTTTAATGACCCTTCATGTACCAGTTTTTGTGCAAATATGTGTTTGGTTTTCCCAAGAGTTCAGATACTTAGTTGCATGGTAATGGCATGCTTGGTGTTAAAAGAAACTGCCAGTAGTTTTCCGAAGAGCCCATGCCCTTTTACTACTCTCCTAGCAATATATGATTTACTAAGTTTCTAGACCTCTTTCATTATTCTTTCTTCCTCTTTTATGCTTCAAGACTTCTTCTTTTCTCATTCTTTTCTGAAATTAGATATTTCTCTAGCCATTCTCAAGTGTAAACTGCCTATCGAATATATTTTAGCTTTCTTTGGTGTTATAATGTCTTTGTTTCATCTTTATTCTTTTTTAAATGGTCATTTCTTTTTTTCCGGCTTTCTTGAAGTATAATTGACAAATAAAATAATAATATGTTTATATTGTACAATGTGATGATTTGACACACACATACATTATGAAAGGATTTTCCCCATCAAGTTAATTAACCCACCCATCATCTCCCCTATGTACCATGTTATATTTTGTTGTGAGAACTCTGAACTTGTACTTTCTCAGCAAATTTCAATTATACAATACAGCATTATCAACTATAGCCACCGTGTTTATTATACATCCTCAGACATTAGTTCACTTTTTTACTGATAGTTTGTACCCCATTACTAGCCTCTCCCTATTTTCATCATGTCCCAGCCCCTGACAGCCACCATTCTACTCCGTGTTTCTGTGAGTTTGACTTTTCTCTTTTAGATTCCACATATGTGATACCACACAATATTAGTCCTTTTCTTTTTGGCTTACTTCACTTAGCATAACACCCTCCAGGTCCTTTCATGTTGCCATGATCTGCTTGATTGTTGAATGTTAGTTTCACCTGGTATGTAGTTCATGATTGATATTTCTTATCTTTTCATATGTAAAAGTATTTTATTTATAGAATTATTGATAGAAGCTCAAACTAGCTTGGCAAAGAGCCCTGTGACAACAAATGATCCATGTTTCTTGGAAAACCACACTAACCAAATAATTCCTTTGTATGTTATTGTATTCGTTCCAGTTTTGGTGAGTGTAAAAAGAAATCCGACAGGTAGAATATTTAATCTAGATTCATCAACACCTTTAACGTAATGATAGTGGCAGCATTTTCTAATTAAAGTATATATGTTCAGAAAAATTGTGTTGCACCTGCATTTGTAATACATGTAACAGTGAAATTATGGGTTGCCACTACCCAAATTTCACTAGCAGCATGAACTTGCAAAATGGTAGAAATTTATCACCACTAAGATAAATTATATGATATCCTCCAGATATTATTGAGATGTCCTCAGTTTAATTTGTGCTAATGTGTGTGTTTAGTTCTATAGGATTTTATCACATCTCATATACAAAAGGCATGCCCCAAGTAGTCCCATCATCAGCATGATCTCTGATATTGCTCTTTTATAAGCACACCGACCAACCTTCGGTTGACATTCCCCCCTTCCATCTTCCATCTCCTGCCCTGTCTTTAGCTGCTGGTAACAACAAGCCTGTTCCCCTGATTTATAATTTTTCTTTATTATATAAATAGAATCCTGGGGTGTTTGAGATTGACTTCATTTCCTCAGTGTAATTTCCTGGAGACCAACTCACATTTTTGTGTGTATCACTTGTTCCTTCTTTTACATTGTTGAATAGTATTTCATGATATGGATTTTCCATGGTATATTTGTGCATCTTTTTAAAATTTCTGGAATTCCTGTTCTGGGCTGTTAGCATTAAGCCTGCTAATTATACTTGTTCATATTTTTAAATCTTGGTTCATTTAATTGATTTCACACTTTCATAGTTTTCATTTCTCTGGGATGAATGTCCAAGAGTGCAATTTCTGGTCCTCCAGTGTTTGCTTTCTTAGTTTTTGATAAGAAACTGACAAACTGCTAGCCAGTGTGGCTTTATCATTTTCCATTCCCATCAGCGATGTATGAGTGGACCAGTTTTTCTGCATCCATATCTGTGCACTTTCCTTTGTTCCTTGTCCTTCTTGTTTCAGTTTTTTCTATCACACTATATGTCTTTTCCAGTTGAAGATTTTCCTTTAGCATTTTTTCAACATGAATCAGTGAAAAAGTATTTTGGTTTCTTTTTGTCTGTAAATATCTTTATTTTTGCCTCATTACTGAAGGGTAATTTAATTTGGTATAGTTTAGAGGTTTGGAAGTCTTTTCTTACAGCATTTGAAAAATGTTTTCCTTATAGAAATGAACAGAGCACAGATCCAACAGGAAGAGAACACTCAGATGATGAATAACCCAGAAGTCTTGGGAAATAACAACGATGGTCAAGATACACCAAGGGTCCTCATCCAGTCTCATGGTAGTGAGTTTGAAATGATACACATTACAAATAGCACTGTTTAATGTGATTCTTTAATATCCCTAATGTGAGCTAGTGGTAGCTTTTCTAATGAAAATTCAATCAAAAGTAACCAATTATACATTAAAGTTTTATTTAGAGTCAAATTTAACTGAACATACAATTGTAAGAAACAATACAGAGAGATCTTGTGTACTGTTGACCCAGTTTCCTCCAATGATAACATCTTGCAAAAACTATAGCACAATACCACAACTAGGATGTTGACATTGATACAATCCACAGATTTTTCAACCTCTGGTTTAATTGTATTGATTTGTATCTGTGGTTTAGTTCCATTTGATTTTGTCATATGAGTAGGTTTGATTTCGACCATTTCGGTCAAGAGAATAGGACATTTTCATCCTCATTCTGATGTGTCCCTTTACCCTTTTAAACTACACCTGCCTTAGCCTAAGTCCCATGATATGTAGTTGACTTGTGACATGCATGTGTTCTTCCTTCTTATTTGTTGTTGAGGACTTTTCCATGGCATATGGATGTACCACGCTTTGTATTGTGGTTCACTGTTGAACACCTGGAATGTTTCCAGTGTTCAGTATTGCAGGTACATTTTTTAATGACCCTTCATGTACCAGTTTTTGTGCAAATATGTGTTTGGTTTTCCCAAGAGTTCAGATACTTAGTTGCATGGTAATGGCATGCTTGGTGTTAAAAGAAACTGCCAGTAGTTTTCCGGAGAGCCCATGCCCTTTTACTACTCTCCTAGCAATATATGATTTACCAAGTTTCTAGACCTCTTTCATTATTCTTTCTTCCTCTTTTACACTTCAAGATTTCTTCTTTTCTCATTCTTTTCTGAAATTAGATATTTCTCTAGCCATTCTCAAGTGTAAACTGCCTATCAAAATATATTTTTAGCTTTCTTTGGTGTTATAATGTCTTTGTTTCATCTTTATTCTTTTTTAAAAATGAATGGTCATTTCTTTTTCCCCAGCTTTCTTGAAGTATAATTGACAAATAAAATAATAATATGTTTATATTGTACAATGTGATGATTTGATACACACATACATTATGAAAGGATTTTCCCCATCAAGTTAATTAACCCACCCATCATCTCCCCTATGTACCATGTTATATTTTGTTGTGAGAACTCTGAACTTGTACTTTCTCAGCAAATTTCAATTATACAATACAGCATTATCAACTATAGCCACCGTGTTTATTATACATCCTCAGACATTAGTTCACTTTTTTACTGATAGTTTGTACCCCATTACTAGCCTCTCCCTATTTTCATCATGTCCCAGCCCCTGACAGCCACCATTCTACTCCGTGTTTCTGTGAGTTTGACTTTTCTCTTTTTAGATTCCACATATGTGATACCACACAATATTAGTCCTTTTCTTTTTGGCTTACTTCACTTAGCATAACACCCTCCAGGTCCTTTCATGTTGCCATGATCTGCTTGATTGTTGAATGTTAGTTTCACCTGGTATGTAGTTCATGATTGATATTTCTTATCTTTTCATATGTAAAAGTATTTTATTTATAGAATTATTGATAGAAGCTCAAACTAGCTTGGCAAAGAGCCCTGTGACAACAAATGATCCATGTTTCTTGGAAAACCACGCTAACCAAATAATTCATTTGTATGTTATTGTATTCGTTCCAGTTTTGGTGAGTGTAAAAAGAAATCCGACAGGTAGAATATTTAATCTAGATTCATCAACACCTTTAACGTAATGATAGTGGCAGCATTTTCTAATTAAAGTATATATGTTCAGAAAAATTGTGTTGCACCTGCATTTGTAATACATGTAACAGTGAAATTATGGGTTGCCACTACCCAAATTTCACTAGCAGCATGAACTTGCAAAATGGTAGAAATTTATCACCACTAAGATAAATTATATGATATCCTCCAGATATTATTGAGATGTCCTCAGTTTAATTTGTGCTAATGTGTGTGTTTAGTTCTATAGGATTTTATCACATCTCATATACAAAAGGCATGCCCCAAGTAGTCCCATCATCAGCATGATCTCTGATATTGCTCTTTTATAAGCACACCGACCAACCTTCGGTTGACATTCCCCCCTTCCATCTTCCATCTCCTGCCCTGTCTTTAGCTGCTGGTAACAACAAGTCTGTTCCCCTGATTTATAATTTTTCTTTATTATATAAATAGAATCCTGGGGTGTTTGAGATTGGCTTCATTTCCTCAGTGTAATTTCCTGGAGACCAACTCACATTTTTGTGTGTATCACTTGTTCCTTCTTTTACATTGTTGAATAGTATTTCATGATATGGATTTTCCATGGTATATTTGTGCATCTTTTTAAAATTTCTGGAATTCCTGTTCTGGGCTGTTAGCATTAAGCCTGCTAATTATACTTGTTCATATTTTTAAATCTTGGTTCATTTAATTGATTTCACACTTTCATAGTTTTCATTTCTCTGGGATGAATGTCCAAGAGTGCAATTTCTGGTCCTCCAGTGTTTGCTTTCTTAGTTTTTGATAAGAAACTGACAAACTGCTAGCCAGTGTGGCTTTATCATTTTCCATTCCCATCAGCGATGTATGAGTGGACCAGTTTTTCTGCATCCATATCTGTGCACTTTCCTTTGTTCCTTGTCCTTCTTGTTTCAGTTTTTTCTATCACACTATATGTCTTTTCCAGTTGAAGATTTTCCTTTAGCATTTTTTCAACATGAATCAGTGAAAAAGTATTTTGGTTTCTTTTTGTTTGTAAATATCTTTATTTTTGCCTCATTACTGAAGGGTAATTTGATTTGGTATAGTTTAGAGGTTTGGAAGTCTTTTCTTACAGCATTTGAAAAATTTTTTCCTTATAGAAATGAACAGAGCACAGATCCAACAGGAAGAGAACACTCAGATGATGAATAACCCAGAAGTCTTGGGAAATAACAACGATGGTCAAGATACACCAAGGGTCCTCATCCAGTCTCATGGTAGTGAGTTTGAAATGATACACATTACAAATAGCACTGTTTAATGTAGATCCATTAACAACCTTCATGTAAGCTAGTGTTAGCCATTCCTAATTAAAATTAATGAAAACTAATTAATTAAACATTAAAAGTTTTATTTTGAGTAAATTTTAACTGCACACGTAATTGTAAGAAACAATACATAAGGAGTTTGTGTACACTTTAGCCATTGTACAATGTCAAATTCAAAACATAGTCATTGATGGAATCAATATTTTTTATTGAGATGTACTTATTTTCATGTCTGTTTTTGTTTGTGTGTTTAGTTATATTCAATTTTATATAATTTCATGTCAGGAATAGGTTTTATGTCATCCATTACAGTTCACATTCAGAACATTTCCATCACTACAAGGATTTCTTCTGCTGCCCACGTGCCTTTCTCCCTGTACTTGCCTACTTCTGTCTTGTCCTGTTCTTATCCTTGGCAATCTGCTTTTTTTTTTTTTTTTCCTTTATCATTTTGTTTTTCCAGAGCTTTATGTAAATGGACATAGTATGTTACTTTTTTGGTTTGCCTTTTTTCACGCAGCATTATTTTGTGCTGATTTACCTAGGTTGCTTTTTTAAAAAAATATATATATTTTATTGATTTTTTACAGAGAGGAGAGAGGGATAGAGAGCTAGAAACGTCGATGAGAGAGAAACATCGACCAGCTGCCTCTTGCACACCCTCTAACGGGGGTGCGCCCGCAACCAATGTACATGCCCTTGACCGGAATCGAACTCAGGACCTTTCAGTCCGCAGACCGATGTTCTACCACTGAGCCAAACTGGTTTTGGCCTAAGTTGCTTTTTTTATTGCTCAGTATTATTTCATGGTGTGGGTGTATCATGGTTTGTCTATCTCTTCACTGGTTGAAGGACACCTGGGTTGCTTCCAATTTGGCTATAAGGAATAAAGCTGCTGTGAACACTTGTGTACAGCTTTCTGTATGAACATCAGTTTGTCATTGCTCTGGAATAATGCCCAAGAGCACAGTTCCTGGGTCCTTTGGCAATGGTAAGTAAGTGTTTGGTAAAATTTTGGCGAACAGTTTTCCAGGGTGACTGTAATGTTTTATATTCCCATCAGTCAAGTGTGAGTAATTAAGTTTCTGTGCTCTTTGTATTGTTCTCTCTTCCTCATGGTCCAAGATTTCTTCCTTCATCATACTGTTTGAAGATTTTTCCTTTAGCCATTTTTTAAGGGTACATCAGCTAGTGACAATTTTTTAAAAATTTCTTTTGTATGTGAATGTCTTTATTTCTCCTTCATTCCTGGAGGATAGCTCTGCCTGATATAAAAATTACTGTTGACATCTCTTGTGTTTCAGCACTTTAAAATGTTTTGCTTAACAAAATGTTGTTCAAACAGATTCCAGCACAGAAATAAAACCTGAGACAACAACATACCCCAGTTCAATGAAAAGCGAGGAGAAACAAGAAGATATTGACTCAGGATCTCCCTTCATCACTCCTGGTTATGGTGAATTTGAAATAATGTATATTATAAGTAGCACTCTTTAACCTACATTATCAATATCTTTAATATTAACTTTCAATAATTGCTTTTTCAAAATTAAAATTTTTACTTTGTGGTATTTTAGAACACATGTATGTACAAGAAATAATACAGACAGATCTTATATACCCTTTACTCAATTTATCCCAATAGTAATATTTTGTAAAAATATATTGATAGAAAATATCACAATTAGGATGCTGACATTAATACAATCTACAGATCTATGCATATGTCCAAATTTTACTTGTATTTATTTGCTGTATGTGCATTTAGTTCTCTGCACTTTAGTAACCTGTTTAGGTTCAGGTTTTCACCACTATAGTGATGACACAGAATTGGTTCACCACTTCCAGGAACCCCGTTGTTGCCTTTTTATAACCACACCTACCTTCTTCATGTCATTTCTTCCCTGACTTCATCCTTAACCCATCCAAGTACTAAGGTGTTCTCCCTCTTTATAATTTTACTAGAGGCCCAGTGCACGAAATCTGCATTCGGAGGGGGTCGGGTTACCTCAGCCCAGCCTGTGACCTCTTGAAGTCTGGAAGCCCTCGGGGGATGTTTGACTGATGAGTTGTTGGCAGTCAGACATCCTCAGCACTGCCAAGGAGGCAGGAGAAGTTCCCACCACCTCCGCTGCACTCACCAGCCATGAGCCCGGCTTCTGGCTGAGCAGCACGTCCCCTATGGGAGCATACTGACCACCAGGAGGCAGCTCCTGTGTTAAATGTCTGCCCCCTGTTATCAGTGAGCGTCATGGCCATCGGTTGTGCCACCATTCAGTCGATTTGCATATTAGCCTTTTATTATATAGGATCATTGCAAGAATTTTATATTAATGGACTCATATAGTATGTATCCCTTTTGTATCTCTTTTATTTCATTGAGCATAATTCCCTGGAGATTCAGACAAATTGCTCCATGTGTCAGTAGTTCCTTTTTATTCTGAGTAGTATTCTATGTTATGGCTGTACCATGAATTGTTTATCTGTTCACCCATTATAAGATATGTTTTTTTTTCAGTTTTTTACTATTAGGAGTAAAGCTGATATGAATGCTCATATACAGGGATTTTTTTTGGTACAGATTTTTGTGTGAATATAAATTTTTATTTCTTTATAATAAACTAGAGGCCTGGTGTACGACATTCATGAACTGAACAGGGGGTTCCCCTCAGCCTAGCTTATGCCCTCTCATAGTCTGGGACCCCTCAGAGGATTTCTGCCTGCTGGTTTAGGGGATTGGACCTAAGCTGGCAATCAGACATCCTTCTGGCAGTCCAGGGCTCTCACATTCTGGGACCCCTCACTCCTTAACTCCTGCCTTCAGTGGAGGCAGGAGAGGCTCCTGTCACTGCCACTGCACTTGCCAGCTGTGGGCCTGGCTTCTGGTTGAGTGGTGTTCCCCCTGTGGTAGTGCATTGACCACCAGAAAGCAGCTCCTGAGTTGAGTGTCTGCCCCCTGGTGGTCAGTGTGCATCATAGCTACTGGTTGTTCTGCTTTGCATATTATATAGGATGCCTAAGAGCACAATTGCTGGTTGGTATGCTAATTTATATGTTTAGTTTATAAAAAACAGGCAAACATTTTCTAGAATGACTCTACCATTTTTTATTCCTACCAGCAGTGTATAAATGATTCAGCTTCGCTGCATCCTCATCAGCATTTGATGTTTTTACTATTTTAAAATTTTAGCTATTCTGATAAGTGTGTAGTAAGATTTTCATGTGGATTTAATATGCATTTGCCTTTGGTTAATGATGTACAGCATATTTCCATGTGCTAATTTTCCATCTGTTTGGTCTTTTCTCTGAAATATTTTTTTCCGTCTTCTTAAAGTAATGTCTATGTTTTTACTGCTGAGTTCTTGGAGTTGCTTATTTGTAGATACTAGTCTTTTGTTGGATATGTGGTTTGCAAATATTTTCTTTTTGTCTGCAACTTGTCTTTTCATCCTCTACAGATTATTTTTGGAGAGAGAAAGTTTTTAATTTTCATGAGGTTTAATTTATCTTTTTCTTTTGTATATAGTACTTTTAGTCTCTGGTCTATGAACTTTTTGCTTATTCCTGTAGTCTAGTGGCCAGCAAACTCATTAGTCAACAGAGTGGCAAAACGCTGCTCACAAGCCGCATATGGCTCAGGAGCCACAGTTTGCCAACCACTGCTCTAGCCCCCAATTTTTCTTCTTTTATTTTTATATTTTACACTTATCATATACATTTGTGACCCATTTAGAGCTAATTTCATATAAGGTTTGAGAGAGGTGAGATTCCTTTTTCTTTGGCCTATGAATATACAATTGCTACAGCACTATTATTTGAATTGCTTTCATTCCTCCATTGAATTGTTTTTGTACCTTAATAAAAAATTGTTTGGGTATATTCGTGTAGGTCTATTTCTGAGCTCTCTATTGGGTTTCAGTGATCTATGTTTCTAATTCCCTGCCAAACCACAATGTTGTGATTACTGTTGTTATGCAGAAAATGTTAACATCAGGTAAAATGATTTCTCCTACTTTGCTCTTTTTCAAAATTGTTTTTTAGCTATTCTATATCTGTGACTTTCCATCCTAATTTTAGAATAAACTTTATTATGTTTCTAAAACACTTGCTGGAATTTTGATAGGAATTTCATTAAACTTACAGATCAACTTGAGAAAAATTGACATCTTTAGAATGTTGAATCTTCTCATCTATGAGCATTGTATGTCTGTATTTATAAGGTTTTCTTTTATATATTTCCTTTAAATATGTTTTTATTGGTTTCAGAGAGAGGAAAAGAGAGGGAAAGAGAGGTAGAAACATCAGTGATGAGAGATAATCATCCATTGGCTGCCTCCTGCACTCCCCTTGTTGGGGATCAAGCTTGCAACCCATGTGCCCTTATTGGGAATCAAACCATGACCTCCTGGTTCGTAGGTCAAAGCTCAAGCTAAGACATATCTGCTGGGCTCTTTGGTTTCTTTTACCATTTTGTAATTTTCATGATACATATTCCGTATATTAAAAAAATAAGTCTTATCTAAGTATTTTTTGAAAATGCTGTAAATGGTATTATATTTTAATTTTTGGTTTATACATTTTTATTGTTAGTATATAGAAATTAACTTAAATTTTGAGTGTTAATCTTGTATCCCGTGGCCTTTCTGAACTTAGGAGTCTTTTTTTAAATAATTATTTGGGACTTTCTACATAACCATCTTTCTTGTATTATGCCATGCACAATTAGGGTCCATTTTATTTTTTCTTGTAAAATCTGTATACATCTTATTCCTTTTACTTGCATTATTGTAGTGGCTAGAAATTATAGTGTTTTGTTGAATAAGAGTGGTGAGAATGTACATATACTTGCCTTGTCTCTGATCTTAGGAGGAAAGTACTTAGTCTTTCACCACTGAGTATGATAATCTTTATTATCTTGAGGTAGAGTCTCTGTTTTCCCAATTTGCTGAGTTATTTAAAAATAATGAATGGTTATAAATAAGAAATATTATAGTGGATACTTTTTGAGGTACCAATTTTTGCTTCATTGATTTCTTACTGTTTTCATATTTTCATTTTCATTGATTTCTGTTTTTTTGTTTCATCCTTTTAGCTTATTTTGAGTTTATTTTACTCTTCTTAGTTTTGGATGTAGGAACTTAAATTATATATTTGAGACCTCCCTTTTCTTGTATGAGCATTTAGTGCTGTAAGTTTCACTTTCATTATTGCTTTAGTTGCATCCTATATATTTTAATGTGTTCTATTGTCATTAAGTCATGTATTTTATTTCCTACAAACATTCTCTTCAATACATATATTATTTAGAAGTGTGATGTTTAATTTTCAAGAGTTTAAATATTTTCTTGTTTTTCTATTGATTTCTAGTTCGATTCCAATTTATATGATTTCATGTCTTTTAAATGTTGAGACTTTTTTTTCACTTGCACAGAATATGGTTTATCTTGGTGAATGATACACGGGCATTAGAAAAGATATGTATTTTGTTTTTTTATGGTGGGCTGTTCTATAATGAGGATTTTATTGATGGATTATGTTTTTCATGTCTTCTATATCTTTATTGATTTTTTGATCTGGTTGATCCATCAGTTGCTGAATGGAGGGCATTGAGGTCCTCCACTGTAATTATGGATTTGGTTATTTCTCCTTTCAACCTCTTTCTGTTTTTGCTTTATGTGTTTTTAGACTCTGTTGTTTGCTTGTTAAGTATCACATGTCTTTCTGGGAGGTGATCCTTTAATCCTTATTTAATTTTAGTAATTTTCTTTATTCTGAAATCTACTGTATCTGATATCATAGCTAGTCTATCTGCTCTTCTTTGGTTAATGAATGCATGGTATATATTTTTCTATCCTTTTACTTTTAGTCTCTCTATGCCATCGAATTCATAGTTTCCTTTAAACAGCATATAGTTGACTTGTTTTTTTTATCTACTTTATATCAATTTTCTATCATTTAATTGATATGGTTAGGTCATTTATTAGTACATTTAAGGTAATTATTGAAATCATAGTACAGGAGTCTACCATTTTATTATTTTTTGCTTTGTTTTCTGTCATTCCTCTTTCTCTTTCTTGCTTTCCTGTGGATTATCTGAGCATTTTCTAGTATTTCATCTTGATTTATTCTACTGAATATATTGCTTTGTACAGTTTTCCTAGTTGTCAGTGTGGATGTTATATATACATTTACTGGTGTCAACATTGTAAAATGTAAAACAATGTTGACACCAGTAAATCTACCTAATAAAAAAGTAACATGCTAATTGACCATACCTTTGTGATGTCCACCAGCCAATCAGGAGTAAGTATGCAAATTAACCCAAAAAAAGATGGTGGGTTAATTTGCATACACAGGCACTAGGCAGCTGGGGACAGGGTGGGATTCTTGAGTCATTGCCATGGCAATGACACAGGCATCCACACCATGCCAGCTGCTCCAGGCCATGGGCAGTGTTTGAAGGTGGAAAGGCAGCTTCAGGCCAGAGTGAAAAGGTGGCTCCAGCCAGAGAGAAGGCACTGCCAGCAGCCAGGAGAAGGAAGGCCCATTCTTACAATTTATACAAATTATCCCTTCAGAAACTTTTTAAAGTTTCTTCTAATTTGGGTAACAAAATAATAATTCTGACTCCTGTCTTAGAGACCCTTTCTTTTAAATTATTTTGTTACCCAAATTAGAAGAAACTTTAAAAATTTATACTAAATCAACACTTTGATATACCATTGTTAGAAATATAAATTGGTGAAACTTTCTGAAGGCGTAATTTGTATAAAAACCCATAGAAGTATTTATGCCAGTTGACTCAGTAATCCCATTTCTAACCAAATGTAAAATTAAAAAAAGATTTGTATTAACATTTTGGTAGAATAATGTTCTTTACAGAATCATAAAACATTGAAGACATACAAATAAGCAATCATAAGGAATTGGTTGACTCCTGATATGTTCATGGTATGTGAGGCAGTAAAACATGGGCTTCTGAGTCAGGCTACTTTATGTCTTCCTAACCATGTGAACTTCAGCTACTGCTCTATTCTAAATATTAGTTTTTTCATCTGTGAAGTGACAAAAACTATAGTACCTATATAATTGTGAGGCTCAAATGAGATAATCCATTTAAAGTTTCTAACACAATTCTCAGGGCATAAGTGCATAACAAATGTCACCTGTCATGAAAACCATGACAGGAATGCAGAGTTGGAAAAAAGTCACAAAAGAAAATGAAGAAATGCTCAAAATATAATGTTAAGAGAAAAATCAGGATTCAAACTATGTATAAAGTATGATTTCAGTTTTCTGGTTAAAAAAGAAATAAAAGATAATGGAAGACATTAGCAAGAGATTAATGGTTCAGAGCACCTGGCTTATAGACAGACACACTTAGATTTTTAAAGCTGGTTCTATAACCAACAGTGTGATCTTGTTCAAATATCTTACCTTTTCTTGGCTTCAATTTCCTCATCTACTAAGTGGGATTAAATTGTTAGGGTGATGAAACCAAGCTTATAGATGTAAAATATTTAGCACAGTGCTGGACACTCAATAAATGCTAGCTATTTTAAATTTTCTTAATATTTTAAAAAGTATAAAGTGTATTATACTTATATACATTTTCCAAATTGTCTTCAGGGATCATACATTCAGTGAGTAATATAGCTCTGAGTCTACTTTTAGAGGGTCAAAAAGAGCAATGTGATCTCAGAGCAACATCTATATACTGAGTGGCCAGATTATTATGATCTCTGAATGTATAATAATCTGGCCACTCAGTGTATATCCTCCTATAAATAAAAGGCTAATATGCAAATCATCCCCTCCACCAGGAGTTCAACTAGCAGGCAGGCTGGTCAACCGCTCATGTCCCCTCCCCCTGGCCAGGGTGGCCAGACCCCACCTATGCACGAATTCATGCACCGGGTCTCATGCACATGCATGTGCACATGCACACACACACACACACACACACACACACACACATACACACACACACTGAGTGGCCAGATTATTATGCATTCAGACGTCATAATAATCTGGCCACTCAATGTATATATAAAAGCCAACTTACCAGAACCCAGGAATGACTGGAATGGCCAGAATGATCAGTTGCTTTGATGTGCACTGTGGCCCTGATCAGCCCCATACACCCCGATTGGGGGCGGGTCCATCCAGCCAATCACCCGTGGCCCATTCTGCAAGCTGGCCCTGCCCCCAATCGGCCTCAATTGGGGTGGACCACCCAGACCCCACCTGTGCACAAATTCATGCACTGGGCCTCTAGTGTTTACATATACACTTTAATTAAATTTATTTAAGAAAAGGAACAGAATAGTTTTAATATAGCAAATTCAAGACTAGCAAAAGTGAAAAATGCTAACAATAACGCAGATGACATCAAAGAAAGTCATTTAGGACAAAGAAGAAATAAGTATAAAACAAAATTCACCCAAGTAGAAATGTGTGAATTAGAATTTAACTAAGGAAATTTTCTTGGGCACTTTCATTGTAGCTTTGACTGAAAAAACAAAGATTTTACTTGAACCTTATATTTTTAAAGGATTTGTTGGTGATCCAAAAAGAAATGTCACGATTCCTAGAATGCATTTGGTGATCGCACAAAGGAAGCCTCAACCTAAGCATGCAGCCCGCTACTTGGTTCGCAATTTGTTCCCCAGGGAAGTCCTGATTTGCAGCACTGCCAATACCCAACTGCCAAACTCTAGTGGCCGCCAACCCCTAGATCCAAATATAATGGCTGCATTAAGAGGTATGTAAAGGCATGGAATCTTGTTTTATCATCATTTGGTCATTGGTGGATATTATTGGCAGTAGAAGAAATAATGATGAAGTGTTGTTAAATCTTAGAACTGTTCACTTTTTCACCTGTCTGACCCAGATGTTACAATTTAATAGTGTGTAATGGGTAGCAACTTCTGGAGAATAAATCTTGTTTAAAGACTGGTGGAATAAGACAAGCTTTATTGATTATAATTCCTTATGGTTAGTACTAAGTCAGTTCTTCAGTGCTGAAACAGTATTAAAACAAAACGAAGTAAAGAAATGGGAAAATAAAACACATTTCAGTGCTAATAACTGGCAACACAGAAGTAGACTCTCATGATTAATCCACTTTAGCATCCTGCCTCCCAAAAATGTCTATGGTGGTCCTAGAACTCATAGGCACTGAAGATATAAGGGTAAGTATTTCTGTCTGAAAGGAGTTCAGTCTAGTAATGGATATATTGAGGGAAACAATAAATTACAACCCAATGTAGTAATGCTGTGAAACCTCAGAGAGCAGAGCAACTATTTTGGGGGCATTAGGGAAGTATTACTAAGGACAAAACAATCTGGGTTTGGAAGGATTCCTTAAGGAGGTAAAGAAAAATAGGAAGTGTATTCTACACAGAGGGAATAGTTTATGGGAAAGATAAACATGTTATGTGTACAAATAAATCCTTGTATAATAATATTTGCAATAATACCATTTTCTCTTTAAAGATTTCCTTTTATTTTTAGTTCTAAATTATCCATAGGATTATTAAATGGCATTAACACCCTGAAATATTTGACTTTCTTGGATTTTAAAGCACCAAAACCTGATTACTAGTCCTTTGGTCAGTGTTTTAGGGAACCTCACATTAGAAGAAATGAGATAGCCAGCAAAACATCATTTTTGGGCAGAATTTCTAAACTCTCAGAAAAAGAGAAATGAATGACAAAGACAGGAAATTTCAGTATTTTAAATACAAAATATCTTTGCTATTTTTTTATAACTTTCGTGAATCCTTTATGCTATTTGTAGAGTATCTGATAACTATCTTTCCCAACCATGATTTGCGTGAATGTGGAAGAGACTGGAGAGCCTGTATTTCCTATGTCAATGCTCTGATTCGCTACTTATGTAACGCAGCCAAAAAAAACACAGTAAGTTATTTTTCATTTAAATATTGTCACTTCTGTACATATGCATTCTGTATACAACTCCAGAACAGAAAGCACAACACACAGAATCTTCAGGCGTGTGGTCAAAATCTTGTCTATTTACTTTAGGGGCAGGATATATTCTTTCAAAAACATACTGCCTATTTATTTCACTCTTTGGTATTTATACTCCAGAAAAATATCCAGATATAGTGTTATAATTAGTATGTGTAAGCCAAAGCGTATATTAGAAAAGTGTTTCAACTACAAAGATATTTGGCAAATCTTTTTCAGTGTCCTACTGAGTAACACAGAAAAGAGCAGACTGTGGTGCTGCTTAGCTGTTCTAGTGATAGTTCAGGAGAAAAGAAATGCACTTTTTTTTTTTTTAACCATTTCACTTTTAGTGATGGCAAAACCTGTGAAAATAATGCATCTCAGGTTAAGCTATTGCAGATATTTTATATAGGAACCTGACTTCTCTATCATCCATTCTATCTTCAAAATCCATTAGAGATTTTTTTTTAACACAAATGGAACAGTAGGGAAGAGTATCAGGCCTTCTCTTGACAAACTTATTGACAATTCATAATTTCTACCCACCTCTTGAGAAACCTCATTTTATTACTAAAGGCCCAGTATCCCTTAGCCCAGCTTGCACCCTCTTCAATCTGAGACCCCTCAGGGGATATCCACAGGGATCGGGCCTAAACTGGCACTTGGACATCTTTTTCATAATCTGGGGCGGCTGGCTCCTAACCACTTGCCTGCCTGCCAGCCTGATCACCCTTAACCACTCACCTGCCAACTGATAGACACCTAACTGCTACCCTGCCAGCCTGGTTGCCCCCAACTTCCCTCCCCTGCTGGCCTTGTTAACCCCAAATGCCCTCCTCTGCTGGCCATCTTGTGGCAGCCATCTTGTGATGAGATGGGGGTGGCCATCTTGTGTGCGAGGGCTGACAGTCAATTTGCATATTACCTTTTTATTATATAGGATTACCATGTTTAGTCACTTCTGTAAGTTTATGGAAACTGTTTGCCAAGAATATTTGTAGCTGAGCTTATGTTTTTTTTGGTGAATGACTTGAATTTAGTGATAGCTCAAGTACCATCTGTCTGAAACCAAATTTGCTTATTTTTCACATTCTCTTTTATAGCCTACAAAATTTGCACCCTAAACATTTGAATGTAAGATTAAGATGTTGCATGGAAAATGGTAATTTGCACATTTGCTTAGACATCAGAAGAGAAACAGCATCTGCCAAGTGTCTGCTGTGTACTTGACTAGGAGTTGGGCAGATCCTTGCCACTCAGAGTGGATCTGTAGACCAGCAGCAGCAGAACTGGAAAGCTTGTGAGAAATGAAGTCTTGAGTTCCATACCAGACTTATTGAGGCAGAATTTGCATTTTAACAACAGCCCCAGGTGATTCATGTGTACACTGGAGTTTGAGAAGCCCTGACCTAGAGCAGTGATTATCAACTCCGGGTATATATTAAATCATGTGAGACCCTTTTAAAATAAGATATTAATCCCTGAGCTCCCTCACTCCTTGCACCAGAGTTTCTGATTGAATTTGCTTAGGGTGTGACCCAAGTAGAGCTTTCTTATTTTTTTAAAGATCCCTAGGGTAATTCAAATGTGTAGCCAGATTTGAAACCCAATGGAGAAAGAAAACAAACAAAAAACATTTTAAAAGACAAACAAAAAGTTGTGATCTTCAAGAAATTCATTTATTCATGAAATGTTTATTTCCTGCCAGCTATTATCATTCAGTTAATTAGACAGAGCTATGAAGTCCACCAGGAAGTAGTAGTTACAGCATCTTGAGGAATAATGTGTACCTATACTTCTTTGATCATGGCACACAATATCTTAAGTCTTTAGCCCATTTTATTAGAGACAATTTCTTTTCCACCAGCCTGGGTGCTTGAATCAATGATGGAGCATGTCCATTCTTTCTTACTATGGAACATTGTTAACATATACAATTTTGTGTTTCAGAAAACTGTTCCCACCAAACGCAGTACACCAGCATCTGTAGATTTGGATATTAAAAGTGAAGATGATGCCGATGAAGGCAGTTCCCAGTTACCTAGGCAAGCAGCTGCCCCAGAAATAAGTGCAAGTGGAAATTCTCAGCCAAACATCAGTGCTGTCTTTGAAGAATTTGAAGAGCCTTCCGCTAGTGCTTCACTGTCACGTTACAGAACATTGTGTGAGTTTTAAAATAACTTCTCTTGATGTTGAATCTGGTTGATGCTCTTATGGTGTTTACTGTATTATCTTTCTACTTTTATGTATGCTTGAAAATGTTCATAATAAGAACTATAAACAACATAATCACTTATATTAGTGAATTTTTGAAATATAAATATTTGGTTCTGAGACTGATCATTTTAACATTAAACAAAATCTATTATTTTTCCTTTGGAAAATGGTTCTTGGTAGCCAACTCCTTTGACCGGTGTGAACTCTCAAGTTAGGCATGCTGCTCTGCAAGTAGGAGCGAAAGCTGGCTGAATAGAAGCAATTCAGTGGTTTTGCTCTGTGTGCCAGGCACATTGCAGTGTTCTATAAAGAATTTTTGTGTGAATTAATGAATCCCATTCTTCAGAACATTGTATCTTTATGCTAGCTCTCTGCTGGAGATGCATCCTCCTTCATTATTGTCACATGGCAGTAGATTCTGCAGGTGACTTATGCTTCCCCATGACCCCTTCCCAGAATTTTGGAGTTTGGGAACACCTGAGATAGCAAAACTATCTTCTGTCTCTTACTGCATCTATATCAACCCTAAGTAGAACATTACCTGTGAACCTAATCATATGAAATTATTTTTTTCTCCAGTTTTATTTCATTTTTATTAAATTTAATATTGGTTAATAAAATTATATAGGTTTCTATATAATTCTATAATATAATTTATAATACATCATCTCTACATTGTATTATGGGTTTACCACCCCAAGTCAATCCTCCTTCCATCACCATTTATCCCCACTATACTCTCTTGTGCTTCCTCCTACCACTTCCCCTCTGGTAATCACCATACAGTTGTCTGTGTCTGTGCTTAATCCGTTCACCTTTTTTCAATCAGCCCTACAACCCCCCTCCACTCTGATAGCTGTCAGTCTGTTCTCTATGAGTCTGTTTCTGTTTGTTCATAAATTTTCTTCATTATATTCCACATATGAGTAAAATCATATGGTACTTGTCTTCCTCTGACTGGATTGTTTCACTTAGCATAGTGCTCCCCAGGTCCATCCATGTGTTGCAAAAGCAAAGATTTCCTTCTTTTTTATGGGTAAGTAGTATTCCATTGTGTTAATGTACACATATTTTTAAAAAATCCACTTATCTACTGATGGGCACTTGGGCTGTTTTCAGATCTTGGCTATTGTAAAAAGCAGTGCAACGAACACAGGGGTGCATATATACTTTCAAATTAGTCTTTTAGGTTTCTTTGAATATATTCCCCAAAGTGGAATATCTGGGTCATAAGGCAGCTTCATTTTTCATTTGAGATAACTCCAAACTGCTTTCCACAGTGGTTGCATCAGTCTGCATTCTCACCAACAATGCATGAGCGTTTCTTTTTCTCCACATCCTGGTCAACACGTGTATAAATGATACATCTTTAGAGTATTTTTATCATTATAAAAGTAATATAACTACTGAATTTAAGGTTGTACATGGTAGAAACAGACTTTGGCCAAATTAAACCACCACAACAAAAATCACAGGATGAATAGCTTCTATATTAAAAACGCAGAGAACAAACTGAGCCACAGGCAGAAGCCAGAATGGATATCTGTGTCTGCAGCTCCCATGATATCTAGGTTATAGATTTCTCTTGTCACTGTTCAGATTCTCTGGGGAAATAATCTGATTTAGGGAAATTGGGTCAAAGATCTCTGACTCTGACTCTGACTCTGACTCTGACTCAGCTAGAATGAGGGGTCAGGGCAACTAAGTACATTGTGAGCCAGGAAGCCTCCCCAGTTTGTGTGTAGTCTATTATAACATTTTATTTAAAAAACTAGAGGCTTGGTGCTCGAATTCAGGTATGGATGGGGTCTCTTGGCCTGGCAGGCGATTGGGACCAACTAGAGCTATCTGGCCCAGCCCTGAATGGGGCATATCAGGGCTGGCCAGCTGGGGTTGGGGATCGCAGGAGGTTGATGGGCCACAGGAGGTTGGCTGTGAGAGCTCACTGTCCACCAGGGGGCAGCTACTGCATTGAGCATCTGCACCCTGGTGGTCAGTGCGTGTCATAGTGACCAGTCGATCGGTTCTTTGGTCATTCGGTCACTTAGGCTTTTATATATATACTAGAGGTCTGGTGCATGAAATTTATGCATGGGAAGAGTCCCCTCAGCCCAGCCTGAACCCTCTCCAATCCAGAACCCTTGGGGGATGTCTGACTCCCAGTTCAGGCCTGATCCTGGGGATCAGACCTAAACCAGCAGTCAGACATCCCTCTCGCAATCAGGGACTGTTGGCTCCTAACTACTCATCTGCCTGCCTGCCTGATTGCCTCTAACTGCTCTCCCTGCCAGCCTGATCACCCCTTATCGCCTCTGCCTGCTGGCTTGATTGCCCCTAACTGCCCCTGCCAACTTAGTCACCCCTAACTGTCTCCTCTGCTGGCCTGGTCACCTCCAACTGACCCCCCCCGCCAGCCTGGTTGCCCACAACTGCCCCCCTGCCAGCCTGGTTGCCCCATGCAACCTGCTGGTAAGTCATTTGATCATCCCTCACTAACTTCCCTGCTGTCCTTGTCACCTCAGGCTGCCTGTTGGTCATTACTGTCACTGTGATGGAATCCTGGATAATTTGTATATTCCTCTAGTATTAGTACAGATATAGATGGAAAAGTTTTTTAAATATATCAACCAAAAATATTGCTCCAAGAGATGTCTGAGATTTTAATGCCTATGTGTTCTTTTAGAATTTGTATGGGTTCATGACTTACATTTAAGCCTTTTATCTGTTTTACGGTTATTCTTATATGTGGTATAAGTTGGTGGTATAGTTTCTTTATCTTTTTTTTTCATGAACCTGTCAAAAATTTCCAACACAATTTATTGAAGAGACTGTCTTTAGTCCATTTCATGCTCTTTCATCCATTGTCAAATATTAATTGGGCATAATGGCTTGGGTTGATTTCTGGGGTCTCTGTTCTGTTCCATTGATTTATATGCCTGTTCTTGTACCAGTAACCAGGCTGTTTTGAATACCATGGCCTTGTAGTATATTTTGATATCCAGTATTGCGATACCTGCAACTTTGTTCTTCATTCTCAAATTTCTGAGGCCATTCAGGGTTTTTTTTTTTGTTTTGTTTTTTTGTTAGTTACATATAAAATTTAAGAATATTTTTTCTAGATCTGTGAAATATGCCATTGGTATTTTAAAAACTATAAATATTTCAGTAAGAATCCTGGTGCTTATTTTTGAAAAGGCCTTTTTTTAAAAATAGGAAAAAAATGAATTAAAATGACTTATTTGTTACTAAATTTAATATTCTGACCTAAAAGGTAGTTGGGCACAGGCTTGTCCTTTGAAAGAAACAGAGCATATGTAATCATACCAGCAGTGATTCCTGTCTCATTTCTCATGCTGTCTCCTGATACACTAAAATATTAAAAGCTTTAATTTTTTAATCTCTCAAATTCTTAAACTTAAAAATCCAGAAAAATCAACCTTCCTATTATAGCCTTTTTTAAAAAAAAAACAAACGTGAGCTTAGCCCTAGCCGGTTTGACTTAGTGGATGGAGTGTTGGCCTGCAGACTGTGTGTGTGTGTGTGTGTGGGGGGGGGTCCCGAGTTCGATTCTAGTCAGGGGCACGTGCCCGGATTGTGAGCTCAATCCCCAGTAGGGGGTGTGGAGGGGTGGCTGATCGGTGATTCTCTCTCATCGATGATGTTTTTATGTCTCTCTCCCTTTCCCTTCCTCTCTGAAACAAATAAAAATATATTTTTAAAAAAGTCAGCTTAATATCTGCTATAAAAATTGACATCTTTCTCTTTTCCTTCTAGGCTATATTGGAAATCCAAATAGAAATGTACAGGTGACATTTTTAGTACTGACCATAGCAAGAAAGAAGGCTTGCCCACAGATGGCAGCCAGCTATCTTCTTAGCCAACTGTTTTCAGAGGAAGTCCTGCTAAACAGTATCATCTATGGCAGTCTGTGGCCTGGTGTATGTGCCCTTAGCTCCAACAGGATTAATGCTATTCGAGGTTGGTACATGTCAAGTATGTGAAAATAAATAAATGTCAATTGTGTTAGAGAAGGGAAAAAGAAAATCCATTCAGTCCGTGTGTGTTCTGAGGCGACCTCTTACATATCCCTTATTAGGGCATAACAAAGAGCAGGCTCATGGATTGTTGATTTCTGCATTTGGGTTCTCAGGCTAATTGCTCTGTCTTGAATGGCATTATTAGAACAGGAAAGGCATAATTGACTCTGGCTCCTTGGTATGGACTGCCAGGAGTTTGGAAACACACACCTTCATTTACTGAGGATCAAACTCAAAGCTGCTGGGCTTTGTCAATTTGCAGAAGTGTCAACAATAGCACAGCAGGCTAATTTGCCAGTTTTTTCTTGTGCACATGAGCATGGTGGCAGTCTTTATCTGTGACATATATAAATGAAGAAATAAAACTTCCAAAAGCAATTCTGTGTAATCTTAGATTTGGTCAAAGCAGGAAGCAGAATATGTGTACCCAGCACGTAGTTCTGAGCCCCAGCCTCATCTCAGTTGATTTCCACCATCATATCACATGTTTCTCATCCAACAAATTTGAACAACATTCATCTTTCAGGCTAAACAAAAGAAACCTGACTTGTAGCACTTTTCATAAACACTTGCTAACATCCAATCCAATTGTTCTATAACTCATTTTACTGCAATCCATAGTAAGATATACATTTTAAATTGTGACTCCATATGTGTGTGTGATTTTTTTTAAAGGAAGAAACATTTTCACAATTCTTACTCTTTCTATGAGAGTTACATTCTATTCTATTATATGGTTTGAAAGTGTTGCTGTAACCTATTTCATGACCTAATAATTGGTAAAACAAAAACAAAAACACAAAACCCAATTTCTCTTACTTTATCATAAAAAAAGAACACAGTGTTTTTAACCAGTTTTGAAATAAAAGTGTTTATAGAAGAAATAGTGTCTTTCTAATAAAAAAAATTTTAAATGAGGAAAAGATGAATTTGATAGTACTTTAAATATCTGGACTAGATTAATTTCTTAAAAGTGAACTAAAATATTATTCTATGCATTTCATTTTGTTTTATCTCTTACTAAATTATATTACAAATCAAGATCTCTTTTGTAGTAAAAATATTCAACATGAGTTTGGCATACTATCTACATAAGGCATACTTAACAAATTTCTCATGAGACTCAAAAGTTCTACTCCTTTGAAGATAGCCATGTGAGTTATTTCAACAGATAGAATGCAGTAGAATCATTGTCCTGGGGGACAGAGCCAGGTCCCAAGGAGGAGAAGCTGACAAGAAAGCATATTTTACTTTAAGGACAAAATGAACTTGGAGAATCAAAGGAGTTAGAGCAAAAGCTGAGTGACCAGACATTAGAGATTTCTTCACTCATAGGAGGATGGAGCTTTATGGCCTCTAACAGTTCTTCTTCTTTTTAAAAAAAAATATATTTTATTGGTTTTTACAGAGAGGAAGAGAGAGGGATAGAGAATTAGAAACATCAATGAGAGAGAATCATCTATCAGCTGCCTCTTGCACACCCCCTATTGGAGATGTGCCCGCAACCAAGGTACATGTCCTTAACCGGAATCTAACCTGGGACCTTTCAGTCTGCAGGCTGATGCTCTATCGACTGAGCCAAACCAGTTTCGGCTCTAACAGTTCTTTAGAAGTATCAGTTCAGTATAAACTATTTAAAATATACATAAATGTACAGAAAATAATATAGTAAAATAATAAACACCTGTCTACCCAGTACATATAAAGACATTTTACCTCTTGTGCTCCAGGCTTTTTAAAAATAATAATAAAGCCTTATTGATATCATTAAAACTCCTTAAGTGAGGTTCTCAGAATTTGAATTACCCATCATTTCTTTTCCCTATCTTCCTCCCAGAAATAATCAGTCTTGGAGTTGGACCTATCATCCCATGTATATTTCACACTTTTGCTACCTATGTTGATAGACCCATAAATAATATGTGATATTATTTCACAGTTGTTTTAATGTACATAAATGGGATGTACAGTACATACTCTTTTGCAATTTTTTTCACTTGACACGGCATTATTTTTAAAGAGATCTACTTTATGCATTTTAAACTGCTGATTGGGGTCCCATTGAATGAATGAACTAGATTCTTCTATTAATATAATTTTTTTTTATTGATTTCAGAGAAGAAAGGAGAGGGAGAGAGAGAGATAGAAACATAAATGACTAGAGGCCTGGTGCACAAAATTCATGCACTCAGGGGAGGTGTTCCCCAGTCTGGCAATTAGGAGCCTGGCGATTGATAGCCCCAAAGAGGTAGGCCCCACCCACCTGTCAGGGCTCCTGGATGGATTGCCCCAAAGAGATAGGCAAGGGGCCACGGGAACCCTGACAGAAGCTGCAGGAAGCAGCAGGAACTCAGTGGAAGCTGCATGGAGAGGCCACAGGGGCCCAGCCCCCGCAGCACATGCGTGGGGCCACGGGAACCCCATCTCTGCTGTGCATGCAGCCATCTTGTGATGGTGTGAGGGCATCACAGCACGAGGACCACCTACGCTTTTATTAGTAAGATGAGAGAGAATCATTGATCAATTGCCTCTTGCATGTTCCCTGCTGGGGATTGAGCCTACAACCCAAGTATGTGCACTGACAGGGAATCGAATCATGACCTCCTGGTTTGAAGCTCAACCTCTCAGCTACAATGGCAGGGCCTATTAATATAATAGTCTTATCCTAAGATTTTATTTTGGGGAACCACTTCTTTTTTTTCACATATCTTGAAGTATTTTAACAGAACATTAAAGCATTCTTTCTGAACATTTTTCAATGTATGCTTTACTCCATTGTTTTAGTTTTCTTTCAATTGAAATAATTCCAATTATTCATATTTTGGATCATTTTTGCCCATCTCTTTTGTCTTTCATACTCTATCTTTTTTATTGTCTAAAGTTTTATATATATATCTCATTTTTCCCTGCTTGACCGCCTCCCCCCCCCCCCAGCCATTCCCACCCTGGCCAAGTCCCCACTGCCCCAGTGTCTGTGTCCATTGGTTATGCTAATATGCATGCATATAAGTCCTCTGGGTGCTCTCTAACCCCTCCTCCCCTGCCATTTGCCTGTGAACCTATTCTTGTTCATCAAATTACGTTGATCATTATATCCGACATATGAGTGAGATCATGTGATATTTATCTTTCTCAGACTGGCTTATTTCACTTAGCATAATGCTCTCCAGGTCTACCCATGCTGTTGCAAATGGGAAAAGTTTCTTTTTTTTTATAGCAGTGTAGTATTCCATTGTGTAGATATACCATAGTTTTATAATCCACTCATTTGCTGATGGGCATTTAGGTTGTTTCCAAATCTTAGTTATTGTAAACTGTGCTGCTATGAACATAGGGGTGCACATATCCTCTCTGATTGGTGTTTCTGGCTTCTTGGGATATAGTCCTAGAAGTGGGAGGGGACCACTTCTCATAGATATAGTCAAAGGTTAGTATGTCCAGTGGTCAAAGGTATTGATTTCATATAAGAAACTTATTCAATGCTTTCTGATAAGAGCTCAGTATCATTTAAAGGCTCTTTAGAGAATGATTTAGATGGAGAAAGTTAATAGGCTAGAGATTTGAAACCAGCAAATATTTTTTACTCCTATACCATCCCCATCCATTATTGCATATTATAGAACTGTAAAATCTTAGAAATAGGAAGTACATTACAAGTCATCTAATACTTGTAGGAATTCCCTTCTCAGCTTTGACACATAGTCACCTTTCCTTGGTTTGAACACTTCCATTGATGGCAGTCCAATAAATCTAATTAATTAATTATTTAATTAATTATTTAATTAAATCCACTACATTTTAAAAGGTATTTAATCTATGAGAAAGTTATTTTTCCAAGTGATTAATAATTTACCTCCCTTCAACTGAGACACATTTATTCTTCTTATCCCTTCCAGAGCTAATTAGGGTGGATCCAATCACTTTTCATGTGATAGGTCTTCAAGCATGTAAATACAACTATTGCTTCCTGCTGGATCATCAGGAAGTAATAAATACAGCCTCTACCCTTACTTTAAAGTTGAAAACTAAGTGAGACCCAGTAGTATATGGCAGGTCGAGATAAAAATAGCTTTATTGTTGTTCACACATGCCGTTTTCCCCCCAAACTTTATAATTTAGGGATCCCACCACCTGGAAGTATGAGGATTGGAGAATAAGTGTTATTCCCAATTTCCTTCCAGTAAGTCTTATACTTTTATAGTTAAATATTTCCATTTTCTTCAGTAATTCCTCATATAAATATCTTCCTAATCTTTCACAATCTGATTCACTGACTAAATTCAGATATACTGAAGTTAACCCAGATTTTCACTGGGGACTAACTCTGAAGCATAGCTTTTCTCACTTGCACAACTGGAAGCAAACCTCAAGAAACCTTTTCTGACTAGTGTAATTCCTCTTAGATGAAAATATTTATTAAACTAATTTAATAATAGTTATAGTCCATACATTTTAAACTCTTAATGATCCTTTTATAGATTTAGCAATAGAACTAAGGTTAAATAAATTAATTTCTCTGAAAAGTGATTATTTAATAACTTATGTTTTGGGACTTTACCACCAGAGTTTCTCCAAGACAACTACCCGGCTTGTGATCTATCAGAAGGTGGACGTGAGTGGAAGATGTGTGTGAATTCTATGAATCAGCATATCCACACACTTAAACCTGGACATGGAAATTTCCCATTTCAACCATCATCATCTTCAAACACGAGTTCTTCTTCGTCTAAGTCAGAATCTGACACTGACTTAAGTGATCAAAATACTTGAATATCTGCTTCCTTACTTCTTTTTTTTTTTTTTACTGTTGTTTTATCCTATAAGTTTCTCAAGTTGTAATTCCAAAATTAGCCTGTTATAGTAGCAATGTAGTTCTGCATTCATACCTGAAGAAATAGCCAATATTCTTTTTCTGCCCACATACAAAGGAGAATTGCATAAGAAAGATATGTCATGTTTCTCTTATGAGCAAAGTGATGGGCAGGGTATGTAACCCAAACATCCATGCTGGTTTTCTTCTACATCCATCAGTAAGGAATTTATAGAATTGACTTCATATTATTTGACCTAAGCTTTCTGGAGATGAGACATATGTTCTCTAGATTTTTTTCCTAATAAGAAAAGCATTCTTTAAATTACATCCTGATAATATTTTATCACAAATGTTTGCTAAGATTCAATTCAGAAAATCATATCAGGAAACTTTTTGAATATATAAAAGTAATTTGAATTTAAGAATACATCGTAGTGATTTAGATACTAACTATTTTGGTTTCTGAAATGTTTGGGTGAATGTTTAATATATTTACTGTGTTTTTTTTCTGACAGATTCTCCTCATCAAAATGAATACATATTTTAATTTTACAATGTTTAAATGTTTATTTAAATGAAAATAAAACAACACCAGAATTTCAATTAGAAAAAAAATGATCTTAAAGCATATGGGCAGGATTAATGTAGAATTACAATATAATTCTATTTTGCTCATGAATAGATACTTTTTCAAAAGTGTTTGCGTGTTTATTGTATTCTATCTTAAGCACCTTAAAGTTCTTGAATATTTCAACCATAGGAAATACTGCAGAATTTCATTGTTTGATCATTTGTATTTAAGAAGCCTTTTGCCAGTTATAATACCATCTTTCAGTTTTCAACTTATTGAGCAGTCCTCACTTACAGTCATTTTATAGCATTCTTAGTTATTGTTCAAAAAGCAAATTTTTTTCCTTTTGAGAGTTCAATCTTCATTTATGGCCATGTGCTTGTGATCCATGGCTTTGTCACAGACAATTGACTTCAGCTCTTTTATAAGGCAAAGAAATTCAATAACAAGTAATAAGTAGGCAAACAATATAAGTTGTGTGAAAGTTGATAAGTCTTTTCATCGTTGTGACTTGTGAGATAGATTAAGATGATTTTATAGAATCAACTTATAGAATTGATACATATTTTCATATATACTTTTTGTTAATCCTCACCTGAGGATATTTTCCCAGGTTTTTTGTGTTGTTTTTTGGTGTTTTTTTTTTTTTTAGAGAAAGTAGAAAGGAGGGAAGGAGGGAGAGAGAAACATCAGTGTGAGATACACACATCAATGGATTGCCTCCCACATCGATTGAACATGCAACTCAGATACATGCCCTTGAGCAAGAACTTTTGGTGCACAAGACAATGCTCTAATCACTTAGATACACTGTCCAGGGCATATATGTTTTCAAGATTTAATTTTTTTAGTATTCTAGTAAAATATAGTAGAATTAGCTTTATAAAGCTAAAATATTTAATTTTAAGACAGTTCAGCAAATAAATTGTTGTTAGTTGCATTTAGCTTAGTGAATCTCTAACATTTCTATGCATATCTTTATATGTTAAGGCTATACCTACAATATTCTTAAATAGCAGACAATTTAAGCCCCAAAATCTTCCTTTGAGGGTAGTTATTCATATTACTTCATGTAGGGTAGTCTTTGGTTTCACCCTCCAGTTTTACTAACAATTTTACAAACTGCTTGCAATGAAACTAATGTGGAAGAATAAAATTATAACCTAGGCAAAATTTCAAATTGTTTATGCACATTTCAATTTTATTTGTATTTTATGGTATCTGAAATATTCCCTGGATTAGAAGCAAAATTACAAAACAAAAGAACTTCATATTTAGAAAAAGTTTCAAGATTTATACGGTTCACTTTTATCATGCTGGTTGCTTATATGTTATGAGACCAGCCTGTACAACTGAACTTTCTATTATGTTGTTAATGTGCTGTAATTTTAGGTTGTCTAATAGTTGTTAGCCACATATGTCTCTTGAGCACTTGAAATGTAGTTAATTAGACGAACTAAATTTTATCTCATTTTAGTTAATGAAAAGTTAAACAGTTACATATGGATGCAGCTACTGTTTGGATAGCACAATTTAGAATGCCCTCTATTTTTTAAAAGTGCTTATAATGGTCCCCATGGTTTGAGTCATAATAATATACACATAACTTCATTAAAACCACACTGATTGAGCAAAACAAATTTCATAAAGGTGTTTCATATTTTATTTTATACCAATTTATTTTTATTAAATTTATTGGGGTGACATTGCTGAATAAAATTATATAGCTTCCAAGTGTATAATTATATCATACACCATCTGTATACTGCATTTGACCACCCAAAGTCAAACCTCCTTCCGTCACCGTAATATTTTTTTATATTTCGTACTAAATTAGACCTTTCCTATTTTCAAAATTTCACATACTACTTCTTTTGTATTAGTCCAATGTTATTGTATTAGTCCAATGTTAAACATTTTAAACACCTGTTTATGAGGCTTGTATTTGAGAAATTTACCTTTAGTATATTGCTTTGTTTTCCAAATAAATAAAATAAGTTAAAATTTAAAATGTCCTTAATACAGATGGTTGGCTTTTTCAAAATGGAATAACTTTACAGAACTTTTACTAATGTCATTTGCAGTGTTACTTTAAATGAATGATAACATATTTTTCAGCCAGATCTGTAAGTGTGGCACAGCTAGAATGTTTTCTTAATTGATAAGCAAATTGATAGTTTAACTCAGTAACGACAGTTTATTATTGTGGGTGTAACTGTAGGTTATTGAGAATTTTGGAAGTTTTTTTTGTCCTTCCTGAGTAAAATATGTGTTACTAAAGCATACTAAATTCAATCTTTATTTAAGTATAGGGTGATATTTTCATTTTGGCCAGCAAAGCTCAGATTTTTAGCTTTGATTTTCACTCTCTCTATAGTCCACATCCACATTTAGTACAGTACAGCTGTGCCTCCTTATCCTCAGGGGTATGTTCCAAGACCCCCAATGTTTGCCTGAAACTGCAGATAGTATCCACCAAACTGTGTGTGTGTGTGTGTGTTTCCTAAATACGTACCTATGATAAACTTTAAATTACTCTTGCACTTTGGGACCATTATTAAGTAACATAAGGGTTACTTAAACACAAGCACTGAGATACCACAGCAGTCCATCTAATAACTGATAACCAACAACTGACTGATCGGTGGGTCAAGTATACAGCAAGAAGATGCACAAAGAGGACGATTCATGTCCAGGGAGGGACAGTGCAGGACAGACAGTTTTTTTTTAATCAAGATACTCAGACCTCAGGGAGCTGAAGCCATGAAAAGGGAGACCTAGGCCCTGCTGGTGTGGCCCAGTGGTTAAGTATAGACCCACGAACCAGGAGGTCACAGTTTGATTCTGAGATCAGGATACATTCCTGGTTTGTGGGCTCGATCCCCAGTGTGAGGCATGCAGGAGGCAGCAATTAATGATTCTCTCTCATCATTGATGTTTCTATCTCTATTCCTCTCTATTCCTCTCTGAAATAAAAAAATATATATATTTTTAAAAAAGAAAGGAAAATCCAAGTGACGGGGGAGGCTGCTGTAATATTTCTGCAGCATTCTGCAACAGTGGTAATCTGTGGTTATAATCACTTATGTAGGAGTAAAGCACTTGTCACTTCTTCCTTCACCCTAATGTATTTTAACTCACAACACATTACACTTGAATGACTTTTTTCATCATGATAAAAATATCTTCACATTCACTTTTATGACATAATAATTACTAATCATAAATAGTAAAATTAATTTGAAAGATTAATGGGTATGGGTACAAATTTCAGGACACTAACACAGGTGGGCAAGAAATATTACTTTGTTTTTCTGTAACATAATTTCTATTTTGATTACACAGATTCCAGGTGTTCTCACCAGCCCTTCTGGTCAGATGAGGCTGGGAGTCACAGTTGGGGGAGCTATACCTGAACCCACTTGCCTCTGTGAGACAGGGTTGGGATATTGCAGGCAACTGCCAACTTTTTCAAGCTGGTTTTCTGGATTGGAGGGGGCTAGACCTATGCTCACTCTTGCCTAAGTTGATCCCCATGCCTAGATGAAGCAGGGAAACCCTCTACTTGCTTTGCTGTTGGGTGAGAAACTCTGTCGACTCAGCTCCATCCTGGTTTCCTGCAACCCCTCAGTTCATTTCCTTGGTGTGAGTAAACCTGGCCCTAAGACTGGTAAAATTCCTCATTTGAGGATTGGAACCAGACAGACCTGCACCCCAACGAGTTCTCTGATCAAAGTTTGCACTGATATAGTTCTGCAGATGAGCAAAGGGGCTGGTTGGGATTGCTACTTTGGTGCTGCAGGCAGAAACCAATTTGGCAGTTGTACTAGCTGTTGCTAGCCCTTCCCCTTCTATGTTTTCGTTAGAGCCCCAGTGATGAGCCCCCATAGTCCCCTATCATCCCACTGGGGTGAGACCAGAGTAGGGGGTACCATGTAGCACCCACTGTGCATGGGCTCTGGTTGTCTCCCAGGCTTTCTTCCAACTGGAAGAACTGGAGGTTCTGGGGAGAGATCTCCACATGGTGCTGTTATGGCCTAGGGGCAGGCAATGCAGTCATCCTGTATGCTTCTCCTACACTCCTAAAATGACATGTCTTGGTCTCTAAGAGCAGGGTGCTTCAGCCTTACCTTGTGTAGGACTCTCTCTGTGGTGTCTCCTTCATAAGTTCTAGTTGTTCTCTTGAGGGGTGCAAGTCTGGAAGGAGCTATGTTGCCATTTGGCAATGTCACTGAATATCTATTTTGAGTCTCCATGTATTGGGAGAAGAATCTTTGCAGTCGCCATTCATCAGTTGTGTTCTAGGATGGGTGATGGGTAGAAGTCCTAAGAGAAATAATACTTTTAAACACCACGAAGTTGAGCTCTTGCTCGGTGTCCCTACTG